CGGCACATCGGTTTCGATTGCCAGGTTCGAACCATTTCAATTTGCAATACACAGACTCTTGACTCGAGACAGGCTGAGAAAATTCATATGAGTTGACTGAAGATTCGGAACATTTTTTCCTTGTAAGAGCTGACATTTTTTGCAAGAGCTAACTGAAAAGCATTTTTTCATCAAAGATTTGTCGTATGTTTTTTCTCATTGAATATCTGACTTAAGAAATGTTCGCTTAAAAGAAACACGGATTTGTCTTAAGAACTACATAAATTTTGCCTTAAAATCGATGTCAATTTTTCTCGTCTTAAACCTAAGCCAAAATCAACGTCTTTAAGATTTACGAAAACAAGCGAAAATGATTTGAAGAAAAAAAAATACTCCCAAAATGTCTTACGACACGGAAAAAATCGACGATTTTACGGTGAATACGCGATCGTCCAATGTTTTTCTATCTACATAATCGGACTGCTATAAACCGATATCGCATTGTGATTAATGGCCATTTCGATAATTAAAAGCGATCAAGCATTTCAGCACAGTGGTGTAGAGGCGATTCCGTGTAAAAATGCAATTCAAACGGATACACACATACGAAAAAAAACAAACATTGAAAAGAATGAACATCGACCAAAGAAAAGAGCGAGAAAGACACTGGAATAAAAAAGAAAAAATGTAAATGAAAATTAATAACAAAAAAATTTATTATCCACACACGCGAATTTTATATCAATTTTGTGTGGCTTGAGCGCTAAAGTTTGATGTTTTGATTTGGTTGTTGTCATTTGGTTGGAATGGGGATGACGATCAATTTGATTATGGCTCTTTTTTTCGGGTGGTGGCAGAAAAAAAAGTTTATGTAATTTCTGTTTGGCGGTGTCGCGAAACGGTATGCATTATAAAAACTAATAAAACACGGAAAGAGCGGAACCACCGTGGATACCAGAGAAATGTGCGTCACCCAAGCCCAACAAACCCCGTTTCTCCTTCTTCGTTTCACCAGCAATGCTGGTTGCCACTAAAGCAAACATACAAACAACCTAAAGCACAACAAGAACAGAACACGAATCAATAATACATTTCTTTCAATTTCCTTTTTTTCTAATATAGGAAAATATCTTAAAAGATAATTTTTTTTCCACTGAACCATTTAAATCCACAGAAAAGAAGTGATTTTTCACATACCAAGAATTTCATTATTCCAAAGTTTTATGGTTAATCTTTCGATTCACTTGAGTTGTTATTTGTTGAAGCAACAAATTCAATTTGATTTTTGGATCGAAACGCAGAAGTATTTATACAGAAAAAAATGGAAAACCCACCATTTATTGCGCTCACAATGAACAAATGTCGAACTAATTAAGATTGCAATTTTGTCTGAATTGGCCACTCTATGCAGATATTGCACACATCTCTTTCACTTCATCTCGTTCACATTGGAATTTGTATGTATTTCGGTTGAATTCTGCACATGCAAGGCATTTATGACATTCGCACTCAATTGATTTGTTTGATAGATAAGCTTGTTTAGTTGTTGTACTCCTAGCAATACATTTGAAAGGTCATATGAACTTTCTAATGGTGAACCATTGGTTATCAGACAAACCTGATTTTTTTTTCTCTCGGTGCACATAAAATGTCCATTCTTCCTGAAGTGCTACAGAATGTTATTGTTAGATAAATCACTATTGGAAGTGAATTGGTTCGAAAGATATTAACGACAATTATTCATACAATTTTCCCATCAACATTTAAAAATAACTGTTCAGAAACAGTATTTACCTCGTTGCATCGCATGAGCATATTGATGCGTTGTTGAAATTTAGTACCCGTCAAATAATCGATATTTTCCATGTCGTTATGAATCCAATCAAAAACAAAATCTTCAATATTCTCTATGTCAGAGCTTTCACAGTGTTTAGGAAGCTTCATATTTTTGTAGAATTGACGACAATGTATCCCCTTGAAAATTTCATCATTTCTTATGCAGGAAGATATCATTTAGCATAATGGGAAATTCAAAATTGATTATAATTGATTATTCGTGTGCATTTTGCGTGTTTTCAAACTAGTTTGAATCGATTTCGATAAGTATAATGTCAAAATGACTAGCATTTTCCCATTCTAATTACAGAACATTTAATGGAAATGCCATTAATTTTGGCCAATTTTGTACGAATGGTTAAATTGCTATACTCTACTAATTGCTCGATTATGATGAAGTTTTGTTGTGATTACTCTATTTCATGATATACCAATATATTACGCGAATATTAGATTTTGATGTATAGAATACGAGTGAGATTTGAATTTGAATGTACGTATTATAATCCGCGCTGAACTAGTTATTGAACTCAGCATATCATTTGCATGAATACATTTCGAACCACTTAATGTTATAGTTTTGCTCAAATCACTCAAAAATCACTCTTTGCCATTTTTTCACTTCATCTCACGTAACCTCCGATTCACATGCATTTCGCACTGATTTGCAAAAACAAACCCACTTCAGCCGCAACATTGTCAATGGCTCTTATTTAAATTTTCCAGATACGTATTATTATCGGTTTCAATCTAATAATATTTGACCATTTTTGCAACATTGTTTGCTCTGGTTACTTAGTAGTAGCGGTTGTTTTTGCAAGTTGGTAACTTTACGCAATTTTTACTAAAACACTAGCATTCATTCGATGTAATCATGACTGTTTCCCATTATCATTGTTTGCTTGATTCATTTGTGTATTCAGTGGTTATCATTCGATTTTGAGGTATTTGAATATTCAGAAGCAAATCGGTTGAACGCAGTTTGGAAATTACAGTTGAAACCAATAACTTACAATTATGTGATTCAGTAAAAAAAATTGTATGAAAATAAGCTGATCGATAAACATCGATGAAAATGTTACACTGTGTATTTAGTGTTTTTTTATCCTTGCATTGCATTTCTTGGGCGTAATAATGGAATTTAATTGCATTTTTGACCTCGTAATTATTTCAAATGAAGGAAACTTCTAGGCTTTCATTGTTTTTGCGAATATTATCAAAATGATTGATAAATGGTACAAGTGTACAACACCGAAATGCAATTAAACGATGAACATGTAGTGATCATGATGTACGCGGTTCCAATTGTTTTTGCTATTCAGTTGTTCAGAACTACTCATTCTGTTCGGTCCCATCAATTTCAGGTGATTCATCGCAATCATTATGGATTCGTATGAACGATTTTACAAAGCGTACTTCGGTTGGAATAGAAAAATGTCAAGATTGGTTGGTTTCGATGTGTACGACAAGGATTTTTCACCAAATTTTCTGACTTTTGCTATGTGGCTGTTGGGCATCGTATTTGCATTCATCATGATTTATTCATATGTGATATCAGATAGCATCATTCGATTGAATATTACTTTTTTCTTTTCATTACTTTTCCAAGTAAGTGCGTCCACAAATCAATTCAAGTCTTTTGTATGCATTATATCATTATTTTTTGATTGTGGGCTGGTTTCAAAGTGTACAACGCAATCTATAGTGTGAAGTTTGCAACGATGATTGGATTTATCGAACATTTGTTCGAATTGAATATTAAAGCCAAGTCCCAAATACGTCAAATGCTATTCAAACGCTTTGCTCTATACACCGATTTGATTGTAAAAATTGGATGTGTTATTTATTTAGGAGCCACTCTCATGTTTGTACCGTACCCAATGTACATGTACATTTTTGAAGATCAAAAAGAACTCATGATACCAGCCTACTTTCCGGGCATTGATAATAGTACACTAAGTGGTTATTGTATTTCGATGGTAATACAAGCAACTCTAATGTTCCTTGGATCTATTGGTATGTGTTCGTGTGACGTTTTTTACTCTCTCATCCTCTCCAATGTACCGATTATGGCTCGATTAATCGAAGACGAAGTGCATCAATTGAACGAAATGTTGAAAGAAAATTCTAACAATGCTTGGACACATCAATTCTACACCGTTTTAATGATGCATCAAAAGATGACGACGTACGTTATTCAAACCATTAACTGAACTGTGATAAATAATAACTATTCCTCATTTTCATAGATACATATCGGATTTTAATGGAACTTTCTTCAAAATATGCTTTGTCCAAATTGCATCTTGCATGTTCAGTGCAACTTCGCTGACCTATGTCATAATAACGATAAAATGCAATCGAATTCCCTTCAATGAGTATGGTTTTGTATGAATATATTCTACATCATTTCTACTAACAGGAAAATTATTTCCCTGCTTATACTCCGGCCCTTTTTACGATTGCTTCAATTTTCATATTTCGTACGTTTGGAAATATTGTCATGGCAACGGTTTGTTTGGCTCATTACAAATCGCATTTGGAATGGATTTGTTCATTTTTCTTCTTACTTTTTTTTATTTTCATAGAATGACATTGCAGAAGATGCAATTTTGAATGTTAATTGGTATTTGATGGGCACTAAAGAGCAGAAAATGTACGGTCACTTGCCGATTCATATTCGGCATCCCTGTGTTTTAACCATCGGTGGAGTTTATCCGCTCGGTTGGTCGACTTCTGTGAAGGTAAAACATTCTGCATGTTGAAGTAGAATCATAAAGTGCTTTGTACTCCACATTTTTTTGCTTAATTTCAGCTTTACAAATCGATTTATTACTGCATTAATCTGTTGCGTTCCATGCAGTAGAAGCTTTTTTTTCTGGATGTGTGAACCAAATTGCTTTGACTATGATTCATTTAAATGCTATTTTTTCAGTATGCTGTTGCACTTTTTGTTCTATTATACAGTATTATCACAACATTCAAGATGAGTTGGCCGAATCAGTGGATTTGGAGTGAAAATAAACAACATCACGTTATTATGATTAGAATTTTGGAGTTTTTTTTTCTTTAAAATAGTTGGGAAAAACATAACATTTTCATACAAAAACAAATAACAAGAGTGGAAAAATGAAACTCCAAGTTGGTTTTCAGTTGTTGCAATGCAGAGATACTGCTTAGTAATGGTGAGCGAGGTCACCATGATGATGATGATGATGCTCGAGAGGAGCTCCGGCGGAGAGAGCTCCTTCGGCTAAGTGACCATGAGCACTGATATCAGCTGGGGCAGCGTGCAAGGCAAGAGCTGGTTCATGGTGGGCAACAGCGACAGCTTGTTGTTGGTGTTGCACATATACTGGGTATGGTTGTGGGACTGGACGATCAACTGTGTACGGTTGAGGAACTGGCACTTTTTCAATGACAGTTTGGACACGGTCAACTGGGACGGCGTATGGCTATATTGGAAAAGAGAGAAAAGGATCGAGTTTAGATATTTGGCTTTGATAAAGATTTTCGAGAAAGTTAATCGAAGTCAAACTCACTTTTGGAACTGGAACTTGAACGCGGACTTCGTATGGCTACAATGAAAATTTGGATGTGTATAACAAACATTGTTGGATAAGATTAATTTTGGATTTTTTTTTCAGAATTGATTTAATGTAAAATAATAATTACTTGCGGCACTGGACGATCTACGACGTATGGTTGAGGAACGTGTTTGATGACTTCAACTGGGTAAGGCTACGTATACATAACGGTAAATGATTAGTATTCCAATGTTATTCAATTAACACAATCAATTGTGCAACTTCAATACATAAGAAATGATTTTTACTTGTGGGACTGGACGGTCGATTGGAACGTGCTTGACGACGACGCGATCAACTTGGTATGGAACTGGTACGCTGACTTTTTCAACGGTATGAGTGTGTTGGTGGACGCGTTGGGCAACTTGTTGAACGGTGGCAGCTGGTGCAGGGGCCGATGAAATGTAGGCTTCTTCATGGACGACATGTGCATGATGAGCTGGTGCGGCGGCCAATGGAGCAGCAGCAAAGGCTGAGTGACCCGAAGCAGGTGCGGCGAATGAGTGATCCAAAGCAGGTGCAGCGAATGAGTGACCCAAATCAGGTGCAGCGAATGAGTGACCCAAAGCAGGTGCAGCGAATGAGTGACCCAAATCAGGTGCGGCGAATGAGTGACCCAAATCAGGTGCGGCGAATGAGTGATCCAAAGCAGGTGCAGCGAATGAGTGACCCGAAGCCGGTGCAGCGAATGAGTGATCCAAAGCAGGTGCAGCGAATGAGTGACCCGAAGCCGGTGCGGCGGCTAATCCATGGTTTCCATGCAACAAACCACGTTTCTCCTTCTTTGTTTCACCAGCTATGCTGGTTGCCACCAAGGCAAACATACAAACAACCTACAAAACATAAGAACAAAACGAATACACAAATTAATGTCATTTTCAGTTCGAAACATTTCACATATATACACTTTTCAATTGTTCCACTAAAGAACACCGTTAAACTGAATAAATATGATTTGTCACGTACCAAGAATTTCATTTTTCCAAAGCTTATTGGTTAATCTTTCGATTAGTTAAAACTGTTATTTGTTGAAGGAACAAATTTGGTTTGATTTTCGAATCCAAACGCTCAAGTATTTATAGTGAAATGTTCAAACCCCACTGTTGTCACAAAATTTTAACACATATTAGCCGAAGAAACGTGAAAACGAGAAATGTGTGTTTCGAAGATCGATCCAATTGATATTATTGGAATTTTACGAAAATGGGCTATTCTTCACCGTGCGCGTTTCTGCATACATTTCTCTTTCACTCCATGCCAGTCGCGCTGAGCATTTACATATTTTTTCCTTACAAATCAAACAAATTCGGTTACATTATCGCTTATTCGTGTTTTACATTCGAATCTTTGCGATGCGCATAATCACCGGCACATAACATCATTAACTACGATATGCATCTAATATAATATATATAAATCTAATATTGTCGGCAAAATCAACGTGCCGGCCAACTCCTTTCCGATCGAATTAAATTGATTACGAAATTGAGGAGATGAAGTTAAACATATAAATTGTCAATGCCAGCAAAAAATAGAGCATGCCCGTGTGAAAAAGAAATGACTGACTGACTATAACTTCAGTTGACTTTAGTTGATTGAATTTATATTTTTGTTCTAAGAAAATCACTTGGTCCCAAATGAAGCAACTTAGATTGACTTGTAACTTCAAATGATTTCAGTTAACTATGATAGACTTACACTACACTTTGTACTGAAATGTCAATCAAAGTAAGTCATTTTTGTCCCAAATTAGTTAACTGACTGCTCAGTTACTATTTTTTCACACGGGTGGCCATCAGAAATAAATGCAATTAACTTTAGATTTTGTTGCCATTACCCGCAATCAATCTCTTTTGATTATATAGCACTACCATTTATTTTATCAATTTGGATTTCATTGGAGAGTTGTTATTTTTGGTGTTGGTTTTTTTTAAATGGTATTTTATAACTGGATGGGTCTTTTCGTTCCTACTATGACATGTAAATCAGTTCATTTTCAAGACATCGACACTCATTCTCCCATCGTCTATTGTTGAATTCAAATCTTTGTCAATCTTAGTTTTAATTAAGTGATTTTTGTATTTTGCACGAATTTTCAGACCGCAATATTTGCTACCAACACCAATGTCTTTACCTTTTTGTTCACACCAATTTCCATGATTATTTATAATCAAATTGTTTTAGTATTGCTCGTCAATATTTTAAATTGGTCCATCAGCGAACTGCCGCAAAAAGCATCAAACCACTTTCGTTTTGGTTTTAAAAAAGGTAAAAACCATCACTTTAAATCATTATGATCACAAATGTTTGATAAGGCGACAGATGTTTTGCATTTTCGTCCAAATACATTTAATTATTTATGTGAGTACGTATGTGTGAATATGTGTGTATGTTGAGCCCACAATTTGAAAATAGATTCGCAGACCGGTGCTGTGTCGGTTATGTTGAAAAAGCAAAAGGTAAAATTGGTTCATATTGTGCAATGAGGTTATTTTAAAATTATTATATGACAGTGATAGCGGTGATTATCTTCACGAAAATCTACATTAATTAATTTAGATTTGGCGTCGCCATTCATGTCAACCACGCACGCATTAGAGTGATTTTGCACAAATACATACATTGTTGGAGCAGAACAGCTAAACCACATTTGAGGGAATATATTCGAGTGAGACAAACATCTTTTCGGTAGAAAATGACAACAAATACTAACAATATCTATCTACTCCAAAGCAACAATATGAAATATATTCAAGTGGACAAACACAGAGCAGTAACACCTATTATTCAAGTTTTTTTTTCTCAGTTTATCTAAAGCAGAATGAATATTAAAATGAGCAAAACAACACAGTTTGGCCAATTGAATATAACACGTGTATGTCTGAATCTAACTATAATTTGAATTATTTGTATCACATATTGACGGAACAATGTGTAAGTACTGATAGTTGAAAGTATTTCTGCCATGTCGTTCAGAGTCTTCTTTGGCATTACTTTTTCGTTGAAAATATGTCTTCTTCAGTGGCATAACTAGAATGAATTTTTTTTAACACCATCAGAAAAAAACGCAGAGACACTCGAAGTGTGATTTTTTAAGTGCTGCAAACGATCAAGTTATTGTGTTCTTCAGAGAACTTTAGGGATTTTAGGATACTGTTGGCTTATCTCTCCCCTATGCACAAGTATGACCATCAGTGAAATCTAAGAAACGTTTTCCAATATATGATCGTGACATTGAGTTTTCATATTTTTCGTTGAATTGTTGCTTCTTGAAACCGGTGCATGTCCTGCATGTACGACGTGTACGTGTGTATTTTTTGGTATATTCAATCGAAAAGCCCAACGTATTGTTGGTATATCGTAATTATAATCCAAGACGAATAAATTTGTTTTGGGTAAAAACCACGAAAACAAATCGACAACAAGTAGCATCTGATATTATTATAATTTAGCAAGTATTCTCAGTTAGTCCTGCAAACTAAAAAATTAGCCCAGTTCTGCTTACATTTTTACTTGAAAAAGAGCCCATGTTTTCTATTTGAGTGTTTTGGTATTTATTTTTGTCATAAGGCTTAAAACTAAATAACAATTTCAACAAGTTTTCTTTTCCGTAAATAGGAAATAACAAGAGTGGACAAATGAAACTCGGAAACACTTTGATATAAGGTGTAACTTATTCAGTGTTTGTAGTGATGGGCAAGCAAGGCTGGAGCAGCGCTGTATGAAGAAGCCAAAGCTGGCTGAGCGGCATAGGCTAATGGAGCGGCAGCATATGAAGCCAAAGCAGGTTGGACAGCGAAGGCAATTTGTTGAGGTTGAGCGGCGTAGGTAATTTGTTGAGGTTGATCGGCGTAGGCAATTTGTTGAGGTTGAGCGACGTAGGCAATTTGTTGTTGAGGTTGAGCGTAGGTGACGAATTGTTGTTGGAGTTGGGCTTGGGCAATAGCGATAGCTTGTGGTTGTTGTTGGACATAGTATGGTTGAGGAACTGGAACTTGACGTTCAACAGCATATGGCTGTGGGACATTGATACGTTGGACAACGGTGCGGACACGTTCTACTGGGTATGGGACTGGTTGTTCAACTGGCACTTTAACTTGGACTGGGTATGGCTATTTTTTGAAAGATAAGACGAAAGGGAAGTTGCGATTAGTTTTATTTCACCTTTCATTTTAAATCGAATGAGTTCTATCGGAATATTCAATTCGATACGGCGACTGTACAAAAGAAGATACTCACTTGTGGAACTTGACGTTCTACTGGATATGGTTGGAGGACGTGCTTGACAACTTCAACTGGGTATGGCTGAAAATCATGGAAGGTAAACGGTAAGAACGATTAGAATTCGTTTTTTTTCTTTTCGACGAGTTTGGACATTCATAGAATGTCATGTTAGTATTGCTACGGAAATAAAAACGATTTCGAAATGATATTTACTTGTGGAATTGGGCGGTCAACGCCAACAGTCTTGACGATTGTACGTTCAACTGGGTAGGGTTGTGCGACATTGATACGTTCAACTGATTGAGTGTTTTGGACTTGAGTTTGCACAGCTTGTTGCAATGGAGCGGTGAAAGCAGCTTGGGAGGCGTAAGCAGGAGCAGCAAAAGACAAAGCTGGTTGCAATGGTTGGCTTGGCACAAATGGTGCAGATGCCTGAAGTTGAGCGGATGGCAACAAACCGCGTTTGTCTTGCTTCTTCATTTCACCAGCCATGCTAGTGGCCACAAGGGCAAACATGCACACAACCTATTGAGGCGAAAGCAGAATATCCAAATAATATTGTTATTATTACACATTTCTTCACTGAGAATTAAACTAAACACTGTATTTTCTTCGAAATTTCGCACACAAAACAGAAGAAGAAGAAAAAAAAACTGTTGCGATTCGTACCATGAATTTCATTTTTCCAACGCAAATTTTTTGCTGATTTAACTTTGAATTGACTTAAACTGTTGAATGAACAACTGTGGTATGATTTCAGACTCGGCGTGCAACCGTTTTTATACCACGTAGAAAAGCAACGCTCTGGCCCCACCGCTCCAAAGAGCCAATGGAAAAATTGGATAGTATTTCACTTAATCAAATTGAAATTTTGCATACTGTGCGCTAACGAGCGTACATCATCACATTTCTCCACTGACGACACTCGATACTGCTCCATTTGCGTCCATTCCAATTTCAGTTTCATTTTCATTTGATGCCGACTGAATTTGCATATCCACTAATAATTATCGCCAAACGGAAGAAACATTTGCACATGAATACAATTTGCCTAAATTTTCGTCTTTATTTTGGTCATCGCCGTAAACGTACGCATCGATTTACATGGAATATGTATTTTTACGTATCGCATAAAAAAATGGAGCATGGTAAAATGTATATCGCGACGACGCTGTCACAGCGCAGCGCATATTTTATTCACGTCGCGACGTTTACATTGGCTCGTCTGCTCAATTGAATCAGAAAATATTTACTCACCATCCAAAAAATTTGAATAAATATAGATCGCAAGACATTTGAGTAGTTTGGAGCGAAAATTTAATCTAGGGGCTTATGTGTTATACGAGTCCGTGCGAATCAGGGCAAAGTTGCACAAGTCAGCACAAGTCAGTATGTAAATTTTGTATGGAGATTCGAATCATTTTAGATAAAGCACAGACTCGTGGACTCGCGAAACTCCATATAAAATTCCCATACATTTTTCACTGACTCGCGAATCTCTCGGATGACACATAAGCCCCTCGAATGTAACACAGAAAAGTTGCGCGGAAAAATGTCAAATTGAAAGAGTTTAAAAAAAGTTTACTATACAGTATACGATATAGCTTTCCCTTTGCCGCTCATTCATCATCGACATTTTTCCGCGCAACTTTTCTGTATTACATTTTCGCTCCGAACTACTCATTTGGTTTTCGGTCCCACTGATGACAACATTTGTTGTTGTCATCGTCGATGCTGAGCGAACATCTACAAATCACATCTATTTAAATACGCACAATGAAACCCATTCGCTACTTTGTTTTTGATGAAAGCGTTTGGCTATATAGGTGTATACGCGGGTGAATTTCGGATAGCAATGCTCGCAGGCTTCTCATCGCCACATTCAAATATAAGATGTCAGTGGTATTATTTTAACAATTGTTGCTGGATTTGTTTGGTCTATCTTAATTATTCGGTCGTTAATGCATTCAGTGAATGCCTATTGTTTACAAAGAAGGTGAAAAATACTACCTACACAATGCATTCATACAGCTCCGGGTTTATTAATCGATTAAATACTTATCTTCGGTCAAAATCTGAAGAAAAAAAACATTTTTTCAAGACAGAAACCGATAAAATCCACGTTAAACTACGATTTAACAACACGTGCTGTCGCAATTCGACATATTCGCGGGGCTGATTTGTTGTCGCGATGCAGTAAGATTGGTATAATTTCCATTCGCATAACTCACACACGATTCACAGAAAGTGTATGGAAATTGTTACAAATTCACAATCTGTTACGAGCCACTGATATGTCAATTGAGTAGTTTTGTCAGTGGTTTTCACGTATCTTCATATGGATTCGCATGAATGACTAGTGCGATTTGCACTAACAGAAACTGTATACGAGTGTTAAATAAGAAATATATCAGGTGCATAAGCGTGGAGAAGAATTTTTCTTGTACAGACCTTGAGTTGATGCAATTCGTTCATATCATCCAGAAGAATAAAAGAATCAATTTTCCCGGCGCTTTCGCACAGTTTTTTGTACAATTTTATTGAAATAAAATTTAGTTCTATTCATAAATATCCAAGAAATGATCTTATTTTTAAAAATTTCATAACTTTTTGGTACTATTTTGTGTCTTTTTAGAAACATTTTGAGTGGATTCACATGAAGATTTTTCATATTGAAAGTGATTTCAGATCAAGAAGTCTTTCATTATCTCTTTCGGTGCCTTTCACCGTAGACCATATATGTAATTTACTATACTTCACTCGCCGTCCATTGTTTGCATAATTTTTCTTCTCTCTTGCGAAACTGATCGTCTGCGCCAGGCCGATTCTCATCGACAGATCTGTAGAATAATATATTGTCCCGTATTTCGGTCCACTTTCAATTTCTGACTAACAATCATATGTGTTTCGATTTCTTCCGTATTTGACCGTTCCTAATGATGATGATTATTGTAATGCGTTATTTTTCTGATAATAATACTTGGTGAGTTTTTCTCTTTGATATACACGGGATGATGTTTAATGACCGTTCGCACATGTTCAACGGGCACTACAGAACAATAAATAAATTTAAATTTGAGTCTTATGATGGCTTGGAATAACACCAAAATGCACATGTACCTCGAACGTAGACGGGCACTTTTTTCTCCACAATTAGTGGTTCATCCCAACTTTTGACCGGTTTGGGCTCCCATCCCTTCAACGGTTTGTGTTCCCATTCTTTGATCGGTTCACTCGGCCAATCTTCATCACCCCATTCATCGTCAGCCCAGGCATTGCCCGCTCCGAATTCATCTGCGCCAACCGAATGATAATCAGTCTTACGCAATTTACCCGCAAAGCAAGTTACGAACAACGCAAACACACACAAAATCTAAAAGCACCGGAAAAAAAACAAAAATAACAGCTGTTACTAGTACAATTTAAAATCGTTTTTTTCACCATTTTTAAGAATGTTTTTTATATTTTTCTTTTTTGGTCAATTTAGACTCAATCAAAAAAAAAACTTTTCCAAATTTTAATTAATCATCATTTTTAGATCTTTTCAAACAATCAATCGCTTCTTTTCCTTTTTTTAACTTCAAACACAGTTTTTTCTTATATTTTGTGAACTTCGAACAAAGTCGATGCTCAAACTCTTAACTAAACAATTATGATTCGTACCAGAAATTTCATGTTTTCAGCGTTTTGATTCGTACAATTCACTACTCTCTATGTTTCTCTTGGAATTTGAAACGATAACGTCTTTTATTGTTTAAAAGTGAAAACGATTTGAAATTTGAAGCCAAACTGAACCAAGTTTATATATGAAAAATGACGGCGGCCCCACCGCCGCCGCCATCGCCGATGGAATAAAATCAAATGAATTTCAATTTTTTTACATTTCATCAGCATAATGTCATGAAATTATGAATATGTTTTGATGATTTTGATTGCGCATTCCATCTTTCCTCTCATGCTGCATAAGCGCATTTTCTGCGTGGTATTCCCATTCATTCGTGTGATTTGCGAATGATAAAACAAGGTGTTATTATAACGGTTTCGGAATGATTTGCGAAGAGATGTTATTTTTCGAGAAAAACCGAAAACTGTTGAATAGTCAGCGCATTATAGGCGTACATTGGCTTACGCTAATGTCACTTATATAACGCTTCAAATTGGCCTAACGCGTTGTGATTATAGACCTGAACAAAATTAACGAACGGATTAATTTTCGGTTGCGTTTCCTACCTTTCTGAAGAGATGAAGAAAAAAAACTTAACGAAACCATAAAAACCACACGTTTCACAAGGAAATCGAATTATTTATTACTACATTATAAAGAATTGTTTGACACTGAATCTTTTAACGGTCAATAAAAATCCAAAAATTTTGATGCAAATATTTCGTGGCTTAGTGAAAACCTTCGGGCTGGTTAAAAATGGGGTATTGTTTTGAAGTCGCACGAACACGGTCCAATGGCACTAAAATACACAAAAAAACGAAAATTTAACCAAAACGAGGGAGAAGAAAGATCAAAATACCTGGAGCATATTCGAATGGATTTGGTGATGATTCACTTGCTCTATTTTCGATCAATACATCGTTATTGGACAGTTCGTCGTTGATTTTTTCCGCTGGTAGAGCATGATTCGATTGCAATGAATGGAATTCTGATCTTGAAAATGCTAAAGAAGACGCAATCAATGCAAAGAAACACACGATCTAAAGCACAAATGAAAACAAAAAAATATCAGCATTTTTCTTTAAAACAGTAAAGAGTGGACACATTTCAATAAAACGATTTTTTATTAAATCACTTTCAATTTTTTTCGTACCAAAATCTTCATGTTTTCACTGAATTTGAAAGAAAAAATCAACAACGTAAATTCGTTCGTCTTGAGTGACTCCGTTCTTGTTGGAAAATAACAATAATTTGAACTTTACGATGAACTGAACTACTTTATATATAAACTTGTGTGGCCTTGAAACCGACGAAAGCATTTTTGTTTTATAACAAAGAAGGAATCTCTGGCCCCACTGCCGAAAAAGAAACCTCTCAGTCTTTTATGACATTCCGTTGAAAATTATTATATCTGTTTCCATATTTGGCACACTCAGTTCGGAGCTAGACTTAATTAATTTGCGTACAGTGTTGCAATTGATAGCGAAACAAAGATCACGATAAACAACAGTTTATCATTCTACGCTACTGATTTTCTCACAACACAAAAAAAAATCGCGCCCAAAAAAATCCATTGACTTTGCTCATAAAAAATATTGAGAAAAAGCACGGAAATAACATGTTTTATTATGCTAATGTCTGTCTACAAAGCACACGACTTAAGACAAGATGTGTTTTGTGGCTACTTTGTGCTCTTTTGTGGATGTGTTTTTTGGGAAAGCTACCGTTTCCATATGTGAACCAGTGCTTCCGTGAATTTGGCATTTTTAATGCATTGGATTGTTTGACGCATTGTCATAATCAATTAAAATTCAAACCATTCGATGATGCTTTGATCAAATGAAATCGACATTTTATTTCACACCTCAATCAACACATTTGTTTTCATTTTTTTTTTTTAAATAAATTAGTAAACAAATACAAATCATGCGGAGCAATATGCATAAATCAATATGATCATTAATTATCTTGAATAAACTCAAAATTTTGCCAAATTGTTAGTAGACACAGTTTGACGGTGTAATTTTTTTCTCGAAATATCAATTAAGTTTGTTTAGACTTGTGCGCTTAAAAATGGTTTCAAAAAGAATAAATAAAATATGATTTTTTTTCGTTCCGATCTGCGAATCAATGAAAAAATCGGTCTATGAATTTGTAGCACGCTATCAATCTAAGTTACATTCGACCTGGTGTTACATTGAATTGATTCCAAAATGAATTCATTGATTATCACGTAAGATCATGCCAAGTGTTTTGGATTAATTATAAAATAATCTATTTTGGCCATGAAAATGGGTCATTAATTTTTCAGGTGTGTTCTTTTTCGGATGATAATTCCATTCGGATTTCCATTTTGGTGAGTCGTGTGCCGTTTCAATTGGAATTGCGGTGGTGTCCAAGAGTTGTGTGGCTGTTTGTGAACATAAACGGGATACGGTTTGGCCACAGAGTGATGATGGTCGACTGGAACTGATGGTAAAAAGCAAAGAAAATTATGTTATGAAAATAGGAAACGAAAAAAGCTTGAAAAGTAAATAAAGAATAAAACGATGATACGAAGCATTACCTGGAACAAAAATCGGAACTGGCTTCTCAACCGCATATGGTTGTGTTACAACAGTCGTTGGACTGGCGTGTATCAGTGACTCCAATGGTAGTGCATGCAATTGCTCTGTTGGCCAATGTTGGCTGTACTTAGAATGCTCATGCTGTTGCAATAAAGAAGTAGTCACCGGAGCATACGCAAATTGAATGGAACGTGTATGTAGCTGTTCACCTGGCAATGTTGGAATGAATTTTGCATTGATATCGTTGTATTGTGATAACAAAGATGTAGTCAATGGATTGTGTGCCAAAGCAGCTAAAGTAAATTGTTCGTTGGTCCAATGTTGCAACGGTAAATGGGACAAAGAGGAAGCAGACGAAGAAAAGGAAGGCTGATATGCGGCAGCCCAATTGGCTTCATCTTGCCATTGTTGAGATAATTGAGCATTGATGTGATCGCTTTGTGGCAGGAAAACAGTTGTGACCGGACTCTGCACTGATGGGTTTAAAGGCGGATGCACTAATTGTTGAAGGTAATTTGTGTTAACACTGTCGGATCGCGTAGCCAAAATTGATTGCAACGATAAATGATCAGTACTGAGCAGGTTACCGGCCGAACAAGCTACTGCCAGGAATGGCACACAGACACAGGCAATCTATTGGTTTGAAAAACAAAGAAACTGTGTTAGTTTTCTGAACAATTTTCACCAAGAAAAAACGATTTCAATTTTCACTGAGATTCGTAAAAAAAACTATTTCGTGGCCAAACGACACTGATATACACTATGTGCATCTTAACTAAAACTATATACAATTTACTTTTCTTTTCAATTTCAATTTCTAGTAAGAGTTTTCATACCATAAGCTTCATTTCTTTCACACTTTCAATTTTTTTCGCTGCTACACTGTTTGGTTGAAGGACAAATGTGATTTGATCAATGACCGAATCGATGCACAGTTTTTATATCAAAGATAATATTTCACCCCACTGTGTATCCAATTTGAATCTATGAATCATAACTAATCGAGGCAACGAATCCGAGCGATATGAAATGATAATCCATTTGGATGCAATTTATTGATTTACAATAAATTGCCCATAAAAAGAATTTGTATACATTTCCAACAATTATCCGTCAATTTATCAAAATTTTATGAATTTTTTTTTTATCAAAGGCTCAAGCCTATTGTTCGTTGGTTTCGTTCTTCGTTCATGTCATATTCGCTCATATCATTTACATAATGAGGCGCACACAAAGATGGAACAGGTATAAAAATGTAAATTGCATACCCGAGAAAGCCAATAATAGAGAATTATCGAATTTGCACCGGAATGAAATGTGTGTAGCTTGTTGCCACACGCATTTCAGAAGAAATGAAAACCATTTAGAAAATAATAACGTCTATTCGAGGTGATGCGATTACATAAACCCAAAGACTAGCAGACTCAAGACATTACATGAATGAAATGAAATTACAAGAAAAAATTAAGTTTAGGCCAATAAAAAAAGGATCTGAATAAAACTGATTGATAAAAATGAAAATAATCCATCGACATATCATTTATGGTAATTTAATCAACACGTGTGGTGTGCTCATCAATTTTTGGGATGATTCAAATCTAAAATATGTTTCGTGCGATTATTTTTTTTGTGTCTAAGCCGGAAAAGAAGACGAACTAAGTGGGAGATTTATGTCACTTCAAATGGAAGCCAAAATAACATTCCTCCCAACTACATCTGTGATAAATGAATTGCTTTTATCACACTACATTGATCAATCCACATTATAACGGTAATGACCGGTAAATTAATTTATGAGATAGAGAATTGGTTCACTTTACGATGAAACTCAATGCTAATGACTAAAATCAAAGTCATGTGATAACTTTTAATGACTCAACATTTATTTACATATAAAAATTAAAATTTCTAACATGAAACAAAAGATTCCTTTGGTTTTGATTTGTTCAAAAAAATTGTCTCAATCCCAACAATTTTTGAACGGATGAAAACGACAATGTGATGATTGATTTAAAACTAATGTGTGTAAACTAAAAGTATTAGCTCTTTCGCTTCAATGGAATAAATATCTCTTACTATTCTTAGGTGCTTAAATATCTTTTTTGATTTGTTTAATGCGTCGCACAATGAAACCAGGTTGGTCCCGAATCAATCCCAACGATTGGCCAATTGCCACGAGCTCCTCTGGTGATGTAGTGCTTGGATATCTTGTGTTCATCGATGCGTTGCGGGAAAACAGTGATCTAAGCAATGACGAATAGGCTGATCTGCTGTTTGATCTACCCAACAAATTTGAAAATGAATTTGAAGCACCGTTATAACGAGCTTGTTTTGATGTTAAATGAACGGTCTGCGATGATGGACGTTGCCTAAAATATACTGGGTATGGCTATAAGACGAAAATTAAATAATAATTAATTTCAAATTCAATTGAAATTTCTTCGTAAAATAAATCAACTCACCTTTGGTACGGCATCTTTTACCGGATATGGCTGTAATGAAAATATAACGAAATTAAATGAATTCATTCATTCATTCGTTTTAAAAATCGCGATCATAGACACTCATACCTGAAACACTGGTCGATCCAAAATGATTGGATGAGGAATGTGTTTTACTACTTCCACTGGATATGGCTAAAACAAAGCATTGATTTGCATTAAAAATTGTTCAAAAAAAAATCTCATTACTGAACAAAAAATATTGCAAATCAAGATGAAGTTTGGCTTACTTGTGGCACCAGACGATCAATATCAGTTGTTTTGTAAATGGTTCGTTCAACTGTTTGGGCTGGAGGATATTTTTGAAAGAAATCAATGGGAATATGAATTAAAGCATGGCTTGAAAGTGCCACTTGCAATTTCTATCACAAAAAGTTGGTTAAAGCTTACACTTTGTACAGCAACAGCTTCTGCTGCGTATTGAACGTTTTGAGGAGCAAATTGAAGTTGTTCTTGTGCATATTGAACAGGCTGTGAAGCGTATTGGATTGGTTGTGGTGCATACTGAACAGGTTGGGGTGCGTATTCAATGGGTTGTGATGCATATTGGATGGCCTGGGGCGGCTGTGATACGTATTGAATGGCGTCTTGTTGAACTGGACTGGTCTGTTGAGCGGCGATTGGCAGAGCTGCTTGTGTGTATTGAATGTCTTGTTGTTCAATAGGAGCGGCCTCTTGAATGGCTTGCTGCACGAATGGAAGAGCTTCTTGAGCGAATTGTACTGCGTGTGCCGACACCTCATGATGTTCAATCGAAGCGGCTTCGGATACGATTGGAGTTTGTGCTGTGGGTACAATTACGGGTTGTTCAATGACTTGTGCACCGGTTCGAATTTCAGAATACTGATTCAAAAGAGCTTTATCATGTGCGACTTCCTCTTCCAACCCATTATTACCGTAACCAATGTGAATATCGTTCGCACTACGTTTATCCTTTTTCACATCCTCAGCGAAACCAATTGCCACCAGGGCTAGTACACAAACCATCTAAAGTACAAAAACACAAAATTAAATGAAATCGATTCAAAAATTATCACTTTACGCAAAGAAAGAACACCGATTCATTTTTTCGTACCTTCATGTTTCCAAGTTTTTTTTTCTGCTCTTTACGGTTAATCCGTACTGTTTCCAGCGAAAAGTAAATGGGTTGTAACTGTTTTTTGTCAAGTTGATCCAGTTTTTATATAGAAAAGAAATGCAATTGGTCCCCTCCTTCCGAAGATTCGAGACTTTTCCATTTCATTTGATGTGAACCTGTTGAATGCTTCACCAAATTATACCGAACAATTTGTATATAAATTTCATCTGACATTTCACCGCTGCATACATGCGTGAGTGCGTGTGTCGTTTGCATATCATGGAATTTTTATCTCCGGCAGACGAATGTATATCGATCATCTGCATTATTTATTTCAGCCGATCAAAGAATAAAGGAACTGACCAATTGCATAAGGCCCAATTCATTTACGCAACAATATTTACATTCCACATAACTGAATTGGGATTGGATCGATATGCTACTTTGGTCAAATTTGCACCAACTCTTAGACAATTTATCGTATATTTTACCAACGAATTTTATGGGCTCGACCAAATTTCCATAAAAAACATTGAATAAAGAAGAACATAAAGGGCCCACCGATTGATCCGATTTAAATAAATTAAATACTGTATCGCAGAACGAAAATGCAAGCGAAGGAAATAAAAGGTATACATTAACTCATGGGAAAAAAATGTCAACCAACCATGTGATCTCAAGATCTAAATTATTCGTTCACATAATGCATACTCTTATCGATTTAATAGCGCGTGTTTTATAGCGGTGCGAATGGTTGATTAATACCATAAAGGCAATCATTGAGTTTAACAATCGTTCGGATTTCCTACTTTGAACAGACAATTGATATTGAATTGCTGGTATTAGTCAAAATTGATTACTTGACAGTAAAACAAAACTTGTTAGCGCTTCATTGAACGACTAGAGAATCTATTGAGATAAACGACGAAGCCATAAAATATAACCAGCATTCGTAAAAATTCATCATCAACAATGAGCACAACAAGCACCTTTGCAAACAGCCACCATAAAAAAATTATGTGAAAAAAAAAACATCGTGACCAAAGAAAGAAGAATTGATTTAAATCATTGATGCTCGTTCAGCCAACTCTTTTCGTTCAATCGAATTGAGTTAATCGTCGTTAAAATGAAGACAAATCTCCACATTATACCATCGGATTGTAGTAGCATCACATTTGCATTTTAATCACTTCCGAAATGTAAAAAAAGTGAAAACACACAGCAGCCAATATACCAAGCTATCGCATTTTACGCACATTTAATTTTTTCACATTCGAATTTGTTTATTGAAAAAAAAAAATCATTTGAGAACCGACAATATGTTGTTATTGATTGAATTTTGACATTTTTTTTGTCGCGACAAACAGAAGAGATTCTTTTTCTCAGTGAAAAATGCGCTTCAGTTTTGTAACGATTCTATTTTGTAACACTTTATGCATTCAATGTGGAGAGTTCATAATTTCTTGGAAATGTACGAGTGAAATAGCTATAGATATACTTATAGCTATAAGAACGCACCGCATGCGACGACACTTTCTCGAAACAGAGAAATTTAGTTCAACGAAAAACGCAACAAGAGGATTCCCATTTAAGTATGTTTGCCGCTCTTCTGTCTGAATCGTACGAATAGCGGCAAAGCTGAATATAAACAAAACACGCTGATAACGAGCAATACACACACATGAATCGGTGTATTTGACGCTCAACGAATCACCGTTCTGCGCGTGTATTGAACAATAGAGCTATAGTTGAGTCGCTAAGAATGAGAACAGCTGAAAGAATACATATTCATCCGCATTGATATGATATGTCTGCGTTTTCTATGTATTTCGGTTTTGTATGCTTAAAATTGAATGTGTTTTCGTATTTTAACGCTCCGCTTCACTCAGCACCAGCATTGACATTGAGAGTGGATGTATGACGATGACGTAGACAGTACAAAACTGCTATCATTTGTGTGAAGTGCGCATTTTGAGAGCATCTAAATCAAAATAAAATCTTATTGCAAACAAAAAGAAACGCAATGAAGACATCGACAGAATAATGGAAAAAGTAAATGTTTTGACAGTATTTCTTGAAAATAAACTGGAAAACACACTTTGAATACTTTTACAATATTCTATTTTGCAGATCAAAAAGTTCAATCTGGAATTGGCGTTGTTCGTCAAAGAGCTGAATTCCTACACCGAGAAAGTAAACGAAATCGACGATGAGACCACGAAATTGTTGATCGAAATGATTTCGGCTGTGGATAATTTGGGACAACAAGCCTCTATGAAAGACCACGAATCATCGTCTGCCCATGAAAACCAGTTTATTTCTGGTTTGAACGAAGAAATATTCCAAATACGCCGGTACATTGTCTGTTGTTTATGTCATGTAAGTAAATGCATTGCAGTCGCGTTGAATGACAAACCACTTGATAGAATAACCACTGGGTTTGCAGGAACAAATTCCATTGACTTTGGAGGATTTTGAATTACACAAGCAAAAGAAAAGTCATAAAGAGAAAGAAGCCGAATTGAACTCATCGCATCAAATTCCCAATGGAAGTGACACAGCTCAAGCGGCATTAATTCAATCCGAAGATAATGAAAGTTGTGATGTTCCAAGTGATCAAGCCGTTAAATTGACAACAGCCAGTTCAGTTAGTATAATGAATAGCAATTCTAATCGAGATCTTGCCCAAACAAATAGCCAAGAAACGGTTACTGGCACTTCGACGATGTCAAATTTCGTAAAATTGGAAGATGTAGTCAAAACTGATGAAATGTCCAAAGCCATCACAGCAGAAATGATTGATTTCGTATCACGAACAAAAACACGGATCCATAATGAGGCACTTATTTTGAAGACTCTCATCGGTCATTTCAACGTTTTTGACTCAAAGGTACAAGTCATGCCATTTGGATCATCAACATATGGGTTCGGTGGATCAAGCACCAATTTCAATATATTAGCCAATGCAGGTCAGTCAGCATAGATCATATAATATTCTTTCAAATTCTGTCTAAGAATGCGGCTTAAATTTTGGTTTCAGGTGGTTCAGATAGAAGTCCAATCACTTTATTAAATTCATTCGAAAAGTATTTGAAAACGTCTTCTGTCCAGAACGACTTTGAGATATTGGACAATATTGCCGGAAACCGTGCTCAGAAACGTCAATTGCAACTGCGTCACAAAAAGTCTGGTGTTTTGTGTTGGTTGCAATTTGGATTTGATAACGAATTGGTCTATTCTTCACAAATCATTCGTGACTATATAAACCATGGTCCAATCTGTAAGTGCATTTTAGCGCGCCTTGAACGCAGTAGACAAATTCAAAGCCAAATAATCGATAAGATAATAATTTTTTTTCTCGACAGGTTATCATTTGATCGCCTTCTTCAAAAGTCTTCAAAATGCCCTTGTTCAACAGGGAATCGATACCATCCACTTTAACACATATCTCATTTCCATACTCGTGATATTCTTTCTGCAAGTGAACCACAATTTTCCGAAACCCAAGGAATTATCTTCGTCGCAAAGTCAAAGAATTGATGTTCCGCCGAAGACTGGTAAAGATTTCCTTGAGAAAACTGTTGGGGAATTTTTCAACTTTTACGGAAGGAAATACGATGTGGCAAAAGATCTGATTAGTATCAATATTGGGCGATTTCAAAAGCGAAAATTGGATAGTCAACAAACAAGACACACGCCCGAGCAAAAGAGGTTAGTATACAAATTCACATTTGAATTGTTCTGAATGTTGTATTTTAACACTTGGTTCGTGCACTTTAGTTTACGCGACGCCATCGATGCAAACCCTGGCAACTGGGAAAATTGTACAATGTATGTGGAAGACATCAAGTCATCTGCCATTAATGTAGCGGCTGAAATTGCTGAGAAAGAAGCACACCATTTTAAAAAGTTATGCCAAATTTTGGCCACTCTTTCGTACAGAAACACAATTGATGAATATGTGTCGAAGCTATTGCCACTTCAAGCGGCCGGACGTGATACAGTTCAAGTGACATTGAATCAATGCAAAAACGGTACAAATAGTGATGTCCACCCGTTCAAAGCCGTTGAATTGAAAACAGCAGGTTCGCTCAATTCGGTCAGTAGCAATAGTAACAATCAAAATGTTGCTCGAGCAAATAGCCTGCAAACTGTACCTTCAGTGCTGTCAAATTCGGTAAAACTGGATGATTTGCTCAACACAAGTAGTGTGTCTGTAGCCTTAGCGGCCAAAATGATTGATTTCGTATCACGAACAAAAGCACGGATTCATAATGAGGCACTCATTTTGAACACTCTCATCGGTTATCTCAACGCATTTGACTCAAAAGTCCAACTCGTGCCGTTTGGATCGTCAACATATGGGTTCGGTGGATCAAGCACCAATTTCAATATATTAGCCAATGCAGGTCAGTCGGCATAGATCATATAATATACTTTCAAATTCTGTCTAAGAATGCGGCTTAAATTTTGGTTTCTTCTAGCTGGTTCAGATAAAAGTCCAATCACTTTATTCAATGCATTCCAAAAAGATTTGAAAACGTTTTCTGTTCAAAACGACTTTGAGATCTTGGACATTATTGCCGGCAACCGTGCCCAAAAGCGTAGATTGCAATTGCGACACAAAAAGTCTGGTGTTTTATGTTGGTTGCAATTCGGATTTGATTGTGAATTGGCCGATTCTTCACAAATCATTCGTGACTATATAAACCATGGTCCAATCTGTAAGTGCATTTTAGCGCGCCTTGAACGCGTGAAGCGGACAATGAACTATATGATTATAATGTAATTGTTACTTTTCGACAGGTTATCACTTGATCGCTTACGTCAAAAGTCTTCAAAATGCCTTTGCTCAACAAGGAACCGAGATCATCCACTTCAACACGTATCTCATTTCCATACTCGTGATATTCTTTCTACAAGTGAACCACAATTTTCCAAAACCCAACGAATTATCTTCGTCGAATAGTCAAACCATTGATGTTCCGCCAAAGATTGGTAAAGATTTCCTTAAGAAAACCGTTGTGGAGTTTTTCAATTTTTACGGAAAGAAATACGAGGTGGCAAAAGATTTGATTAGTATTAATATTGGGCGATTTCAAAAGCGAATATTGGATAGTCAACAAACAAGACACACGCCCGAGCAAAAGAGGTTAGTATACGAATTTACATATGAATTGTTCTGAATATTGATTTTCAACTTAATGCACTTTAGGCTACGCGACGCCATCGATGCAAACCCTGGCAACTGGGAAAATTGTACAATTTACGTGGAAGACATCAAGTCATCTGCCATAAATGTAGCGGCTGAAATTCGCGAGAAAGAAGCGTACCACTTTAAGAATTTATGCCAAATTTTGACCACTTTTTCGCATAAAAGCACAATTGATGAATATGTGTCGAAGCTATTGCTACTTCAAGCGACTGGCCAAGCTAATGGTTCCAATTTGAGTGTAAACAGCACAAAAGAGAGTCGAAAATCATCGCAACAAAATCTAAATGGATGTGACATAGTTCAAGTGGCATTAAACCAATTCAAAGTCATTGAATTGAAATCAGCTTGCTCGCTCAATTCGGTCAGTAGCAATCGTAATCAGAGTGCTACTCGAGCAAATAGCTTAAGTAACCAAATTGTTACCTCGGTTCTTTCAAATTTGACCAAACTGGAAGATGTGATCAAAACTGATAGAGTGTCTGTGGCCGTTGCAGCCGAGATGATTGATCTGGTATCTCGGACAAAAACAAGGACTCGAAATGAAGCAGATATAATCAAAATAATTGCGCCCTATTTGAAAAATACGGAATCCACATTGAAGCTCATTTCATTTGGATCTTCAACGTATGGCTTTGGTGGACGAAGCACCAATTTCAATATTCTGGTCAATGCAGGTAAGCATACAATCTAATCCAATCATCGGTTGATTGTTACAAAATATTCAAAACAATTTCTTTTGACAATGGTATTCTTTATCGCCCAAGGTGGATCAAAACAAAATCCAGCGGTGCTACAGCACAATTTCGAAAAAGTAATGAAGACGCCCGGTGCCCAGGAGGAGTTTGAAATCTTTGATAGCCTGGGTAGCACTCGTGTGCAGAAGAAACGACTTCAACTGCTTCATAAATCGTCTGGTGTTTTGTGTTGGGTACAATTCAGCGGCGATTTCGAACTATCCCAACCAAATCAAACCATTCGTGATTGTATCAATCATGCGCCGCTTTGTAAGTGAATTTAATTCTTTGTGAATGAAATATTACTCTAAGTGGATGATTTATGCTTTCCGGCAGGTTATCATTTGATCGCTTGCATCAGATCTTGGCAGAACGTATTGAATGATGTTGCTGCAGAGCAAGGAAAGGTTGCCTTTCAGTTCAATACGTATATTATTTCGGTTCTCGTGATATTCTACTTGCAAATGGATCACGGTTTTCCGCAAATCAAGGATGTGGCATTGACAACATCCAAATGCATCAATGTGGTGCCAAATATTGAGAGAAATCTTCTGATACAAGCCGTTGGCGGGTTTTTCAAATTCTACGCAAACCGATATGAAACTAATAACCAATTAATAAGTGTAAACATTGAGCGTTGGCAAGAGAAACGTTTGCAACCTCATCAATCTATCTTTACACCTGAGCAAAAAAGGTTGGACTTTTTTTCACTTCTAGCCCATTCTACCTTTGATAGACTTGGACAATATATGATATCTTAAAATTTTCATTTAATTTCAGTTTACGTGATGGCATTAAAACAAATGCCGTCAATTGGAAAAATTGCACCATGTCCGTGCAAGATATCAAATATCCCGGAACAAATGTAACCGCTGAAATTCCCGAGAAGGAAGTAAACAATTTCAAAAAGTTGTGCCAAGTATTGTCTACCCGTTCACATAAAAAGATAATTGATGAATATTTGTCGAAGATGCGGTCGCCTCAAGAAACTAATCGACCTAATTTGAGTGTCAACAATTTGACTTCAATGGGTGCTGCTTCCAGCAAACACAATGATCCGGCGACAATTTCATTAGAAAGCTTAAGATCTGCGATTAAAAATGCTGAAAATCAAGCAAGAGATGTGAGCCCAAAGCCATCTACTTCAAGAAAGTGTGAAAATGCCATCAATGCGTTAAGAGGAATATCTCCATTTCGTACGTTTGCATATGGGTCGCCACTTCAAGAAGGCAAAAAAGTCAGTGGTTCTACCTTGAGTTTGGATAGTGCGATATCGGGGAAAGCACACAGTAGCAGAGCCAATGATTCAACCGCATTTTCATTGCAAAACATGCAAACTGCAATTGTAGATATTGAAAATTTAGCAAAAAATGGCATTACTCAGCCATCAAAGTCCAAAATCTTGGAAAATGTAACCAAAACCGATTACCTGTCCAAATTGGCCAAAGCAGAAATGATGAATATTTTGTCACGCTCAGAAGACCGAACTCGCGATGAGCAAGAGATTATTAAAAATTTATCATATTATTTCTTCACGATCGACTCAACAGCGGCAATAGCGGCATTTGGCTCGGCTACATATGGCTTTTTTGGTGGATCAAGCACCAATTTCAATATTTTAGCAGTATCTGGTGTGAAGGAGTCGAATTTTGTTGGGCTTTTAGACCGATTAGAAGTGCACATGTTTCGTCCAAAGGAAATCCGGAAGCTTACACCTGACGCATTACTGCAGAAGTTCGAAAATTCATTCAAAAACTCAAGCCGACTCAGCAGCGAATTTGAACTTTTGGAGAAAATCGAAGCGAATCGTGTGCAAGGTAGCCAATTGAAAATTCTTCACAAAAAGTCACGAATTCCGTGTATTTTGCACTTTGGCGAGAATACACGAATGAAGAGTTCATCACAAATCATTCACAATTACATGACACTAAGTCCGATTTGTAAGTGTTTTTTGAGGTTTTGTTTTGCTTGTTATAAAAAGATTTTTTCTGAATGCAACTTCGGTTTTTCAGGTAAAGATCTGATTGCTTACGTGAAGGCCTTGATAAATGTCTTGAATGATATCGCTACACAAAAGGGATTACCCAGCTTACAATTCAATGGATATATCATATCGGTGTTGGTGATTTTTTATCTTCAATTGAAACACAGATTTCCAACTATCAATGGTCTACAATCCAAGTTATCGGATAAGGCCGCATTATTATCGGATCGAAGTCTCAATGAAGTAATCATGGATTTCTTCAAGTTTTATGGTCACACATACGAATCGACTCACTTGATCAGCTTGAACGTTGGCAGATGGCAAGAAAAGAGATTACAGGAAGGACAGAAGAATTTCACGCCAGAACAAAAACGGTCAGTTTCACAGTTTAATCAAGTTAATAATCGCTCAATTGATTTCCCATTTCAAATTTTAATTTGTAAACAGTTTGCTAGATGGGTCATAATTTAAATAACTATTTTGTTCGCTTGCAGATTACGAGATGGCATCGCAAATAATCCAGCGAATTGGACGGATTGTGTAATGTGGGTGGAAGACATTGTTTCGCCAGAAGTGAATATTACAGCTGAAATTTCAAATGAGGATGCGAATAACTTCGTGAAATTGTGTCAAATGTTCTCTTCTCATGTACCAAAGTTGGATGAAGGTAATTTAACAGACAATCCAATTTGTGGGACGGTAAACCTGAAGCAGAGAGCAACAATATCCAGCTTAATCGAAAAAGAAATGGCTGTCATGACTCAGCCATCGTTTTTAGAATTTCGGCGACGTTCTGAAGCTGAAATTACCATCATTCTAACGAACTATATTCACAAGTTTAACACTTCTCTAGAGATTCATGTGTTGGGTTCCAGTTATTATGGCATCAGAGGATCAAATACCGATTTCAATTTATTGGTCAATACTCGTACGTTTGATGATTCTCTATTTTTCAGGAGCTAAAAAGCACATAGGCACTTAACAAAAACCATAAATTTCTTGATGATTTTTTGTTTTCAGACGGTGAACGGCCAAAAGAGGTTAGCCAGCGGTTCTTTTTCAAACTCGATACCTCTGACATCACTCGACACTTTAAGCAAATAGTCAAAGTGAGTGCAGATCGAGTTCTAAAGCGACAGATTCACATGATTCACATAAAAACTGGAATCCAATGTTCCATATTATTTGACAGCGATCGCACCATCGTTGAATCGTCAGAAATAATCAGCCGATATATCAACAAGGAGCCAATGTGTGAGTAAATCTCAGTCTTTATGTTTGAAATCGAATCGAAATAAAAATGCTCTATTTTCAGATCGTTTCCTAATCACATACATAAGAGCGTGGCAGAATGTTTTGAACGAGTTGGGCATTGCTAAATTCAAATTTAATACGTACATAATAAGCGTGTTCGCGTTATTCTTTCTCCAAATGAATCACAAACTTCCGAAAGTTTGTGATTTTTTCAAATCTGGCCCAAGTTCGAGTTCAAGCATTACGAGTTTCAAAATGATTCCGAAGGAATTTTTTGCTTTGTATGGAAATAGCTATCAAATGTGGAACCATGTAATTAGCGCACATATCGGCCGATGGCAAGAAAGACGGATCCAATCCGAGCAGAAGCATTTCACAGAGATTCAACAAAGGTTCTTCTTTTCTGGACAATTTCATGAGTTTTTTCTAGATACAAGTTAAAATAATTACTAACGATTTTTTTTTCAATTATTTAGATTGCGCAAAGGCATCGAAGCATCACCAGAAAATTGGACCAATTGCATCATGTATACACAAGATCTGGTTCGACTTGATGTGAACATTACAGCCGAGATATCGAAAGAAGCAGCAGAAAACTTCCAGTCCTTGTGCCAAACATTCACGAAAAATGCACCATCCACATGATTACCAGCCAATTTTTATCGTGATCCAACATTTATTTATTCATTTCTATCACAAATTTACCTGCAGTCATTTGGCATTTTTTTCACATACAAATATCATACATTTTCTATAAGAGTTAATATTTTTGTTAAACAAATGAAGTGATTACATCTGTGATCATAGAGCTACACTAATTTTTTCTTAGATGTACGGAAAAATGAAGATAAAATCAACTAAACACCAAGTTATTGAACCTTTGCTGAAAAAACATTCCTTGTGAAGACCATAACGAGAACATGACGTATTTGAAACGTCTAACTCCATCTACGGATTTTTCTAGCAGTTGTGTTCTATTGAGTTGCGGTTTCAACTATTTTTGGGCGAAATTATCTCAAAAGTATGCTAAAATGAGTTATATGTCATGCGAACGCTCAAACGACTACTGTTAATGTACGCACTGATTCAGTAGACATGCAATGGTTACTAGATGACAAATTTACAATACACTCGAGTGCATGTATTTGCGCGTGCATTTCCGGTAGCCGTTTGAGCGTTCGCATAACAAATAACTCATTTTTGTATATTTTTGAGATAATTTCGCCCAAAAATAGTTGAAATCGTTATATATATCTACTCGATTCACAACTACTGGAAAAATCCGTAGATGGAGTTAGACGCCCGTACCAAATGTAATGTATTGAAACTCCATATATACATGCTCGGAGTATGGTGAAGACTTGGAGGCAATGTGTTAAAGACTGCCCATATATGCCTCTAATTGAGGAATAAACATTGTTCATTGAATGTAAATAAAATCTTTAGGAAGTTTTAAAACCGTTCATGTTGAATCATCACTTTGTTTGACTATTGAACTTCATTCTTTTGTTTTTTTTAATACTCATTAAAGTGAAACCAAAGTCAAATCATACATTTTATCCGACGCGCTGGCCATTCGCCATGGCTCCAGAGATTTGGCTGAACGATATTGATTCTTGATCAACGGAGTGCCGTCAGCCCAAACGGAGTACAAAGCGTATATAACAAACAGTTGTATGTGTGCAACTTGAACAAAGAAATAGTTCAATTAAATATATCAAAAAAGATTTTTTAAATCAAATTGAGCAGCTTGATTTTATTATTTGTTTTTTTTTTTGCCTTTCGTCAACTGGTTTGTTCATAGTTAGCAGCCTATGTGAGAAGGAAATCTATTTTTACAAAAGAATAATTTCGTATTCGATATAAGTTTTGAATTTTAAGAAATCTATTTATCGTTATAGCAATTTACCGAAAAAAGGCCATTTGTTTTATAATATAGTTTGTTCTTAGACAATGGATTGCCGCAGAGAATTCGATAAGAAAACAATGGTATTAAAATGGTTTTTGAACAACATTTTGTACATTGAATTTTCTAATGTAACTTTTTTTTGTTCGGACCGAATATCGAACAAAATAAATGTCGAGCGAACGAACAAACGTTCGAGGCCAACGCCATTTAGTCATTTGACTGTATTCTGAAGTATTTCCCTAATTACCTTTTGCGATTGTTTCCATACAAACCTTCATAGATAAGCTGAACCTAAAAATACCTGAAATATTTTCTCATAAATATATACAACCGTAATTTTTTGTTTAATTCTTCCACGAAGTGAAGTTTGAAATACTATCCTTCTGTTCGACACAAAATGTGCTTGATTCAAAAATATTTTTATACTTTTTTAATCTTTTCATTCGAATACAATTGAACTATGTATTTTGTAAGCGCAAATTGATATTTTTAGCATGATTTTTTTTTGCAAATTTCTTCTTTGACGTTTTTAAAATAATTTATCAAGTGCATGTTGAATGTGATGGATTTGAATGAAATCAGATTTAAAACTAAAATATTAGAAAATCAATGACGAGTAAATTATCGCTTCGGAAGATTAGAATACGAAAAAAATGGAATTCGTCTTATAAAGTCATTCATATTCATTTGAAACGATAGAAACCATTCGTGTCTAAAACAAATATTTCACAAATTCAATGTTATTACTTTTCATGTGTGATGATGATATTTCTCATATTTCAATCTGTTCTCTTCTGTTTAGTATGGCACTGGAAATTTTCGAATACATAAGCAAAGTCATTAGATGAAAAATAATCTCACTCTCTCCTATTTCGTGTCATTTGCTCTTTCGACGTTTTCATTTAACTGCAGCATAATGAGAAACCAAATCTTTGCTTCAATTAGGAACATTGTCTGGCATGCTTAATTGCTCATTGTTTATGAATGTCCTAATGACATGTCCTTTGCACTCCATTTATTTGCTCTTTTCCTTTCCTTTCCATTTCGAAGCAGTCGTGGCAAGTGACCAATCGATCGATAGAATCAGTTGCACGTTAGCTCTCAGTTCGATAGAACAGAAACAGCATCAGTACAAGTTTGAGCATTAGACATTTTCTGAATCTGAACGCAATTCAACATAAAATCCTTTGTTAAATATTCAAGTAAGTTTAGATTTCGAACTAAACAAGTGATTAAATTCAACGAATTATTTTTAATTCAACTGTTGTCATCCTTCAACAGATATCATCATGAAACTCACCGATTTGAACATCGATTGTATCGAAGGAATATTGGAACACTTGGAAATCGATGACCTCATGAGTGCCGCAGATTCAAACACGAGATTACGCCATGCTGCCCGTTTCGTTTATGATCGAAAATACAGTGAAAAAACGGTGTCGCTGTTGCCTGGATGGAATTTTGAGTCTGGCTCAGGTCCGACGCGTCCAGAATATATCTTCTATAACGTAAGATCTAGTTTTCGGCTGCTCCGTTGCTTTGGACATCTGGTATCTGGAGTTCTGCATTTGGAATCCGCACCCGATGATTACAATGAAAATAATGAGAACTATTGCAATTTGATTGGTTATATTCAAGAATACTGCAGTGCAACTTTGAACAAATTCTATTTTACTTTTGACAATCAGTTTGAATTTTTTACGCTTAAGAAACCATTTGCCAAGGTAACCGAGCTGAGATTTAATGTTAAAGATCAAATCAACGCTAATTTATGTGCACTTGGGGACTTTGATGCAATTAATATTACAAAAGATTGTCTTGTTCGGTTGTTCCCAGCGGTGCAAATACTAGAAATATCGGCAGAATGTTCTCAATTCGTTCATAGTGGATGCATTGCAAATCATTTTCAGCAATTGGAACATTTAGAAATAACTCATTGCGGATCTGATTGGTCATCAACATGTGCAGAGGTGTACATAGATATTATTCGTAAAAATCCACAGCTAAAAAAACTCAACTTATATCAAAAGATAATGGACATGAATATGTTTCAAGCTTTAAGTGAAAACCTACAAAACCTTGAGTATCTCGAAGTGAATTGGTTTGACATATTTATTTCGAATTTCAATGGTAAATTGCTACATTTAAACAATTTAAAGCACTTGTCGCTTCGGGGACCTTGGCCAGATAATTTTGTTAATCCAATCTCATTTGTTCAGCTGGAAACAATGGATATTTGGATGGAGGATAAACCGATCGAATATTTTGATGGTTTGTTTCCGAAAATTCAATCAATAGAAACACTAATACTACGGATGTGTACGCCCGATGCTGTAAACTCACTCATAGAAAATCATGGAATAATCACAAAAAACTTTCCATTTTTGGTTGAATTCGAAGTGTTAGCTTTTTGTCCCATTTCAATTTCTAAGGTTCAGCGTGTTATGACTATATTCAAACAACTTACGGTTTTTGAGTTTGGATTTTCCGAAGATTCCGAATATACATATCTACAAAAGTGTCTAAGCACTGACTGGTCCTTAAAATACACCAAAAGTAGGTATATTTATTCATTAGATTGGTTACCGGTCATGTTAAAACGTAAAAACATAAAAAAATTGCCACTTCAAGATTTCCGCAGGTTTTTCAATTAATTGGAATTTTTTTTTCATAGTTTTCCTCTTTTTCTAAGTTAATTTTCATTTTTATTATGATGATAAAAACAATATAACAAAAGACAATAAACATACATATTATAGCATAATACGAACTAATTTCAAGTTGTTTTACTTTAGGTATTCAAAAGGCACGTATACAAATGGTATCGCATTTTTGGATGATGTGAATATTTCATTCCATACTATCTTCTACTCTTCCATTCCTTTAGTTACTATTTGGACTGGAGAGTTTTAAATATACCGTGTGCAAATAAAATGACTAAGTGTCACTCAGTTGTAAGTAACTGTATGTAGTGGTACAGTGTGGTACACAACTAAAACTGGCTAAGTTGATTGAAATCATGCATTTTGTATGGAGACTAATTTGGGACATTTCGACTAAGAGTGATTTATGATTAAAGTTAACTGCAGTTGCTTATTTCGTTCGAGACAATCACTTTTAGTCAGTCAAAATGTCCCAAAATAATCGACTAGTCAGTCAAAAAATGTCCACAAGGGTATTAATAGACGAATATAATTATTAGGCGAAATAGACGAAAAAAAGTACTTGGAAAATAGCAATAGGTGGTAACAGTAATGGTGCTTCTGAAAATAGCAATAGCCCCAACGTTACGCCAGCCAAGAAAACAAAATACGATACACCTTCCGTTCCGGCATCTTTGGTGGAGTCATCTCGAGCAATAAAGAGTATGGCATCTTCTTTTTTAAATTTGATATTCATTCAGTTATAACCATTTTGAAAGCGATTCGATTTTCAAGCAAGAAAATCAATCCGGTCAAGCAAACCATTCAAGAAAAAATGTATCTTAGTATTAAAAACAATGTAGGCAATGGTGTTGTTAATATAAAAAGCTAAATTATATTTTTGTTCTAATGAAAGGAAATAATAAATGAGCCACACTCTCATCGGCCGACTGAACATGATCTGTAAAAATGGTCGAACGAATTGAAACAAATGACATCTGTTCAGTTCAGTGGTTGTGTTGTTTTAGAATTGTGCCCATTTCAGTAAAAATGTACAATACATCATTCAACTAAAAAAAATTGGATTAGTTAGATTTGTTCTGCGATTGTTGTTCAATTTATTTTAGTTACTCAAATTTCTAATGTTCATTTTATTTAAGTTCCCTCCCATCAGAATTATTTTCATTACTTAAAATGTATTCCATGTTTTTTTTTCATTTTCATTTATACATAATCTGAAATTGTGTGAATCAACGTGCTGATTTTATTTTTTACATAGATGGTTGTTGTTTTTCTTTCTCGCTCAAGGTGTATAGAGGTTGTGCATACCTTGTTGCTTTTTTTTTTGCTCCCGCTTGCGAAATTCGATTGCTTCCTTTTGGAGTATTTGCAACGCCTTTTTCTTTTTTTTTTGCGTTACTTCATATTGCTCAGCTACCGTATAGGTTCCTTGCATCGCAGGAATTTGAACTTGTGGTTGAATTGGGCATTGCTGAAGCGTTTGCTCGATCGATGGGTTCAACATTTGACTCGGACCTTGTTGCTATGTGTTGAAATAAAGAGATAAATTGATATATGGTTTAATTTATTTTCAAATTCGGTATGATACGGAAACGAGTGAAGGATCTAACGTGTACCTGTGGTGCAAATACACCACCACCAACGCCGAACATATTGTTTCCGCCAAAGTGCTGTTGGTTTTGATTCATTTGCTGCAATGCATTCATGTTGCCGGCGTCCATCATCATCGACGCGTTGTAGTTTTGTTGATGCTCCACAATATTCTGATCCAGACCCATGTAAATGTTGCCGGAAAATTGCTGTGCCATGCCAACGTTAGCTGCATTTGCATTTGCCATCATATTGCCACCTGAAATAGATGGTGAATGTTTTTCTGTATACAATGTATTTCAATGAAAGAGAAATCACTGTTGAATCTTCGAGAAAAAGAATCACTTTCCTCTTTACTCACCTATCATGATGCCGTGCGATTGTGCTGATGTTGATCGATTGCCGTGGCCATGCAAGGAACCTTGAACATTGAGATTCAATTGGTTGGTTTGTTCTTGTTGGTTGTGCTGCGAAATAAAACATCATTTCTTTATTCAACCCATTGAAAATATCATTGTTCGAACACATTCGAATGAATCAAACAGTATATAAAATAAAGAAACTGAAATTGGAAGTCAAATTGTACCTGACTAATATTCATTTGGTTTGTGGATGCTGGCTTCATTTGGTTCATTTGATTGAAGACCCATTGCTGTTGTTGCTGCTGCTGTTGTATCTGTTGTCCACGTAATTGCTGTGAGTTTCCCATTCCCTGCGATTGGTTCATAGCTTGACCTTGATTTTGCATTGCATTGTTCTGCATTGGGTTATTTTGCATAGGATTATTCATCACACCACCTAAAAATCATGAACAATTAAAATTTTCCTTTCCAAATGCACGATTTCACGGCGACACGACACTTACCGCTATTCATCATCGATGTTTGCATATTTCCAGAATTGGATGGCATACCACAGGCACCCACAGAATTCGATTTCATTGCAGCTGGACTCAACATAAAGCCGCTGTTGATTTGGCTATTCATTTGATTACCCATCTGATTGGCCATATTCATTTGATTTGGTTGTTGTGTATTTTGTGCGTGGCCCATCATTTGTTGCTGCAAATTGGGTGAATTGGGACATCCGCAAGGGTTTAAACTCAAACAATATCCGCAATAATAGTCCATTCTGAAAAAAACAAGAACAAATGAAAAACTTTATTGGGATTTGAGTCGTGTGCAAATGTCAGTCTTTCACACTAATACAAGTGCAAAATATTCCATCGGTAAAGTGTATAAATATTATGTGTGTATTGAATAAATATTCGCGCGTAAGTAATAACGGAGTTTGGCTGTGTTTTCACTTCATTTCAGATAATTAATCGATTACTGTGTGTGCACTAAAACTAAACAAATGTCAATGCAATAAATTACTTTTTTCACTGTTTTTTCTATATGTATTACACGGCTTCTTCACCATCGGCACCTGATTCCAAGATAATACCCTTCAACGATACGATGAAAATTGAGAAAACCAACACTCAGAGAGAGAGAGAGAGAGAATGCGAGCCGAATTGACAACGTTTCGGTATGCTGTGTGATATACGAATGCACAATGCATACACGCACACACTTTTCATCATTGGTGGTGTGAGCAGAGCATCGAACAGCGAGTGCCAATGACAGCGAATGCGACTGTACGTTCGCTTAGAACAGTGGTGATTGTTGTTGCATTCGTATGACAGTTTGAATTGTGTCAATCAACAGCAGTCAACGGAACAAAAATGGATGAAGCGGTAAGTTGTTTGCGATAAATTTGTGTGAAAAATTCAGCGCTACGCATGTTTTCGGTGGATTTTTTTCTAAATGAAAATATGAAATTCTCTTAATTTTCAATAGATAAATTTTCTAAACGTGGAAATCGGTGTGTTCTTACGGTATCTGCGGTGTTTTTCAAAGATTGAAAATGTACAGATCAGCAAAAAGACGATGGAACTGATGCAAGAAGTATTTCTTAATATGAAAGAGCTGTCGCAAAATGCCAGAATCATTGAAAATTCCGTCAAAAATGATGTGGACTTTCTGTTTGAGCTCAACGAACATCAGTACGAATTGCAGCGACATATTTTGTGCCGAACGTGCCTTGTGAGTAACAAAAATGCCAGAGAAAAAAAATCAAAGCAGTTTTCGTGGAATTAAAGTGAGTTTTTCTTTATTGAACAGGATTTATTTCCATTGACAAAGCATGATTTCCTGGCACATTTGAAAACGAAACATCGCAATGTCAATTCCACCGGATCAAATTCATTCTCGTCAGAATTTCTAGCCGAAAACGAATCGACCATTTATCAGTTCAATGGCCACAACAAATCGGTATCACCGAACGTAAGTACTTCGTCATAATTGTTTGGATGTGTAAAAACAGGAATGAAAAAAGGGGGAAAAAGAGAATGAAATGAATTCTCAAAGGCTTGCCAGTGACATTTTGATAGCTGTAAATTCTGTTTGGTTGTGACTTTTGTAACAATTTCGCAATTTCCATCGGTTGAAAACCTCACAACCATTCAATGAAAATGTTTGAATTCAGCACTTTCGAAACGTCATCAGCAAACCTTTCGTCTTAATTCTGCTGTGTAACGCAAATCTCTCCATCAATTGATTTTTGTTTCTCATTCAGAGCGATGGCGGCCATCATTCGAGCAGTGTGTTTAGCGATCAGGGTTTTGTCGAAGACAGCAGTTTTTCGCAGAGCAATGTGCAACACCCACGGTATTCGGATATTCTTCGAACGGCAGTTCCAGCACCCGGTAATTTGACATGCAATTTCAAATTGGTTGTTTGCAAATTCTTATGTAATTTTGATTGGAATTTATACAGAGCCTGAAGAAAATGTGGTCAATATTAAGCCAATCGATATGCTGATGACGCTGGGCGATTTGATAAGAACAGATCGATGCTTTGAGGCAATCTCAGTAGAAATGGTCAATTTCATGACTCGAACTGACCAACGGATTCAATGCGAAAAGAAAATTTTGGACATTTTGACAAAAGCGGTCAATTTGTTCGACCCTTTTCTGAAGGTCTTGTCATTTGGATCGGTTGAATACAGCTTTAGTGGTCCAAACACAAACTACAACCTCTTGATTGATACACGTGAGTGAAAACACATCGACAAAAGAATTTCCACGTGATATTTAATGTTCATTTTTCGGAATAGGAAAATCGGGGAAGGCACCAGCGCTTCTATTGCGCACATTCCAAAGTTACTTTACGCGCTCAGAAGTACAGCGTTATTTTGACACGCCGGTAAAGATCAACTCGAATCGTGTACAGAAGCAACAGTTGCAAATGGTCCACAAAGAATCGGGCATTAAATGCTTGCTGGTGTTTGACAACGACATTACCGTTAGCAATGCAGCCAAAATTATCAACGATTTCATTGCTTTGAAACCAATCTGTATGTATCTTTTGGTTTAAGCCGATTTGGCGCACTTGTTCTTAACCTAGAAATTCATGTAAATTCATGTCATTGCCCCAGGTCGTCAGCTGATTGCGTATGTCAGAGCATGGCAAAACGTTGTGAATGACCTCGCCACGCAACATGGGGACGCTGCATTCCACTTCAACACATACATCATTTCGGTGCTGGTAATATTCTTCATGCAAGTCCAATACGATTTGCCAACTGCGGCCGATGTATCGATCCTTGTCGCAAGTGGCAAGGTCAATCCAAGTGCGAAGTCAATACTGGAAGAGCAAAAAGACTTTGGCCGAATACTGTACGAATTTTTCCATTTTTATGGCATTCGCTACGAAATCAATAACCATTTGATCAGTGCACGTATCGGTCGTTGGCAGGAGCAACGATTGACTCAACAACAAAAGTACTTTACACCGGAACAAAAACGGTTTGGTTTTTTATTATGCAAAGAGAAAGTCATTTGAAAGAATTGATGAATTGATGCTCGTTCTCATGTCATTTATCCACAGATTGAGAGATGGCATGAACGCAAGTGTGGCAAACTGGCAAAAATGTACCATGTTTGTGCAAGACTTGATCGTAGCAGGCGTGAATATCACTGCAGAAATACCCAAGGAGCAAGCATACAACTTCCAGGGAATGTGCCAGATGTTCCAGAATGGGTTAATCGTAATAAGCGTTTCATTCATTCAACAAAAATGCGACTATAATTTCGAAAATGTTCAATTTCACATCACAGAGACCCTCCCCGGTGAAGCGAGTGCCGAAAGCATCGCCGACAGAACACTTGCCCATGCGCAGAGCAACATCTGTAAGCAGTTTGCCATCAACCAAACCTTCTGCAAGTCGTGGTAAAGCACCAAAAGAGGATAAATCAAAAGTGGCCACCTCAAATCTACTGAAAAAAGCTCCAACCAAAAAGGGCGCTGCCAAAACTCCACTCGCCACAATCGATGAGGCAATCAAGAATGAAAAAATCTATGAATTAATTAGAAGCGAGTTGGAGAAGGTATCGTTGCGTTCGGATGAAAGAGTTCGCTATGAGTCACGCATTTTAGGATTTTTGACACATCAATTCAAGTTGTTTGATCGCACATTGGCACTAATTCCATTCGGTTCGACCACATTCGGTTTTGGCGGATCGAATTCAAACTACAACATTCTCGTTGATACTCGTAAGTTTTACTTAAAAAAAATGCATAAATTTTAGTAGGAAAAAGTAGAATCAATATGACAAATGTCACTTTTGATAGAAAAAAAAATTGACTTGCACAATTAACCAACAAATGCCATCATTCCAATGTATTTCACAGGAAAATCTCAACAAGTGCAAGCGCTTGTATTGGAATCATTCGAGAAATATCTCACAAGAACGGACATTCAGCTGAATTTTGAAGGGATAGCAGAAATTTTGGCCAGTCGCACCCTGAAGCAACAGTTGCGAATGATTCACAAAGAATCTGGTATTCACGTTTTGTTATTAGCTGATGATGTGGCCGTGGCCGATACGCAAAAAGTTATCTGCGATTTCATTGCATTTAAACCGATTTGTAAGTCTGACTTTCGATTGAATCAACCAGAACAAAATGATTGATATTTTCATTCATTTCCATTAGGTCGCAACTTGATCGAGTGCATATTGGCTTGGCGAAATGCTTTGAATAGCATTTTAGCACCAACTGGAACGATTGCATTCCAGTTCAACACGTACCTAATCTCTGTGCTTGTGATATTTTTCATGCAAGTGAACTATGAAGTTCCCACCACACAAGAGATGGTCTCAATTCGATCAAATGCCGAGGCAATGAAAAAGGCCCATTCATCACTCGACAAAGATTTGGCGATGTTCGATAAAATATTGGCCGATTTCTTCTGGTTCTATGGGCAACGTTATCAGATTTGGAACCATGTGATTAGTCTGAGCATTGGTCGGTGGCAAGAGAGACGCATTCAAGATCAACAGAAACATTTCTTGCCGAACCAAAAAAGGTAACACCATTCTCATTTGTATATTCATTCCAAAAAATGATGAATTTCTCTGAATTCCACTTCGTCTGACTGAGAGGTGGAATTATTTGTTAATTTATCTCCAGAAACCATCATTCAAACATAGAAAAATGCACATCGAAATATTGGATCCGTGATACAAATGCATATTTTTCGTGTAATTTTTCCAACAGATTGAGAGATGGCATCAGCGAGAGTCCGGCTAATTGGAAAAACTGCACAATGTATGTTGAAGACGTGACTCGACCCGGCATCAATATAGCAGCTGAGATCACCACGAAAGATGCTTACGGCTTTCAAGAAATGTGCCAAGTGTTTGCCAAGAAGAATATTTGCCACAAAATTTGCCAAAAAGATGAAGATGAAATCTGAAATCCATCACCTCTTTATAATGTCATAATCAGAAGATACTCACATTATGTAACGCTTATTATTACTGCCAATTAAAATTGAAAAGAAACAATTAGAATAAAGCAAAGCAAAGCAATGAATATCAAAGTAGAGAAATAATGAAAGATGTAAGCCGAAACCAGTTATTCAATAAACAATAAACTATTTATTATCGATGTTGTTTTAATGGAGAGTGTACAAAATGGAGATAAAAAGAATCTGAAAATAAAAATGCATTCAAATATGTTCATAGAGCCTTGTCTCATAAAAAACACTCATACATCGTTTAGCTAAGACGTAGACGCACTTTGCGTGTCGTGTATATCTCACACTCAGCACCACTATATTTGTCATTTGTTTTTTCTTGCTGTCTGACCTACTTACGCTGATTATTCACGCAAGGATGTTCTGACAACTCATTCAAAATGGTAAAATCCGATGAGAAGAAAAAAATATCCACATTTTTTCAGAATTGGTTTTTTTTTTGTTTGAAAATTCATTCAATTTTGCCAGAAAAATCTTTCGTTCATCAATCACGGCGAACAAAGCAATACTTAGTTGTGCAATTGTGCATATTGAAAGAATATTACCAACAAGTCAATTGAAAAATGCACATATATTGAGTATGCTTCGCAATTTGAATATGAAAATGGATAGCAAATTATGTCATGTGTGTAAGGATTGGGTAAAGTTGCCATGGATTGGCCGATTCGTGCCAGATGAAACGTTGTACGATAGCAACAAGTCGTTATATCTTCTTATTAGTTTTCGCATTGTAATCGCAAAAAGTCGATTCCTATTCAAATAAATCACCGGCTGTTATGATTTAAATCGCCAATGCAGCAATTTGATTCATCGTCGGATGATAAAGTGTCGAGCCGTTCAAGAATGTCAATGAGAACGAGCAAAAGCAGACGATTGTTATAAGTCATAGTGTGGCGAATCGTACCGGTGGCATATCCAGACCCAAATAACAGTGTATTGATTCAAAGCAAGAGCAACTGTACGAACAGCAGTGACATAAATATAATTACTACAATCATTAGCCATCATTTGGCACTAAATATGAACGAAAAAAAAAATCATATAATTTTTTCCATCTGAAACTTCTTTTTAAATGACATATTCCATATTATCACCATAAAATTGATGACACAATCAATTGTTGTCGGCAATACACTGATCTGCTTAAGAAATTGCTTGTTGAGACTCAAAGCAAACGAAAAATGAAATCAGAGTACATGAAAGAAGTGTAACAAATTCTCTGACTCATACGAAATCATTACAAAAACACCCAAAAAAAATGTCATGTCAAAGTATAGTAAATGTAAAAGTCTCCAAGCAAAATCAAGCGATCATCTGGCAATGAAATCGAAATCATAAACAATAAAAATCATTCAGCAAAAAATGAGACCGAGAGAAAAAGAGACAGAGCGAGAATGAAAATTTGAGTATTTTTATTGATTTTATGTCGTCTGCTTTGTATGCCATTATTGAGATCCCACTTTCGTTCTTATTCGGTGCTGTAACCAGTTAAATGGGCGCACGCAGTATAGCACGAGAATGAGAACGTTGGAGAAAATAAAAATCGTCGCTTTGAGTCGAGTGGTTCGTGATTTTCTGTGCGATGTGTCGCATTACTTTTGCTTTGTGTGCACTTTTTTCCACTGTTTAAAACAAACAGCGTATTATGTTTATCTAAACACAAACCGAACACATACCGATGCAGAACACCACGTACACACACAAATCCATAGTATACACTACAAACATCGAACATAGAGCATTAGATCGAACATTCTCTGTGTGTATATTGTTTATACCGTTTTTGGTTTGTGTTGCGTTCGCGTTGACGGTTTTTCAGCATAAACAAAAGTAGATTTTTAGTTGTCAAACAATCGTCGCTGATCATGGACGGAGTGGTAATGAAAATTATTCAACAAATGCAATTTTATTTGATTTCGTTTTTTGTTTTCTTCATTCAAATGCAGTTAAATCGCTTGCAAATTATTTAAAAACAAAGCAATTTAAATTAATTGTTGGCAATTTTGGGTGGTATTTAATGGTGTGTTCTTTTTTCTCATGTGTTGTGTCTGTGTTTTTCTCCCTCTGATTGGCAGATTAAGTTTTTCACCGTGGAAGCCGGTCTATTTGTACGGCATTTGAGATACTTCTCGAACATCGAAAGCATTTGCATCAATCAGCAAATTGTTCATTTGCTTCGTGAGGCGGCTGTGTACATTGATGAATTGCTGGAAAATGCGGAACACATGGAAATGCCAGAACAAGATGTGGTCAAATTGATTTTCGATTTTGATGAACGGCAATTCAGTTTACGACGCTATCTCGAGTGTCGAACCTGTTGCGTAAGTATTGTGTGTGTTTGTGTTTTTTTTTTCTCTCTGGTCGGTAGACATTTAATTGGCGCCAGATTTTGGCTGTGTGTTTCGTTTGAGATTTTGTTAATCATTTTATGGCTTGACACAGGAACTAATTGCACTTTCAACGGAGGAATTTGAGGCACACAAGCAGCTCAAGCATACCGTTCAATATGGAACAAATAGCTTGTTTTCGCCACAAATTGGCCCAGATGCCGAATCAACGATTTGCCAAAACAAAATGGCGACAACCAGTGTAAGTTTGTTGCGCAATTTAAAAACAGAGTGAAAACGAAAGACAGAGAAATACATATGATGCCATCCCATTTTAGTTTGAAGCCGATCACAACCAAAACTATATTACAAAATGTGCTACACAAAGCGATGACGAGCACGCACATCCGAGCTATTCCGATGTTATTAGCAATAATGCTCCTGGCGAAGGTTTGTATACTTTGTTGTTGTTGTTGTTCATTGACAATTGTTTTGATCGATCGGTGAATGGGATTCAATTCGAATGCAATCAAATTTGGAATTTAGGTTTATCGCGAGGCACCAGCCCAACCACAGTGCACAGCAGTGACGAGCTATCGGAAAGTCAAGCCAGAGATATTTCAGTGGATTCGGGCTACGGTACATCGTATTTGATCAAAGTTCGCGGTCTACCGTGGACAACCACCAAAAAAGATTTGCGCGAATTTTTTGCCAAAGTACACATTTTGAATGGTTTGGATGGGATTCACTTCATCACCGACGATGAGAATAACTTTGGCGTCGCATACATTCAGTTGCCAACGCGACAAGACTATGAGGTTGCTCAAACATACCATCGAAAGAAGCTGGATGAACGGTACATTGAAGGTGAGACTTTTTTTTGCTCTTTCTCTCTCGCTCAGTCGGTGTTATTTTTGGTGTTGGGTATCACACAGCAGCTATTTGCAATAGTCGCCGTGAACGACGAACATTCGAGAAAATCGTGTGTGTCACGAATATTTCAATCGCTTAGTGGCAACAGGATTTTTGAAACGATTTTTACTTTCTCACAGCCAGTTGAAAACAACAATTTTTGGCCATAAAGATATCAAAACGATTTTTAAGTTTCTTCTCAAGGGCAATACAAATGGAGTCTGTTAAGTGTGCCGCCAGTGAATCTACGTTCGCCACGCGGCTTATGTAAACAATGCCAATGTTTACATTATTTCATATTGTTTCATTCTCAAACTCATTCACTCTCAATACTCATTTTTCACGCTGTCTTTCAACGGAATACCAATTATGAGATGAAATTTAATCCATTTATTGATTTTGTGCAAATTTTCTCCTCTGGTAAAATCAACACAGTATTCTGATTGTGGCATTTTCTCTAAACGTTTGTTCTATTGTGGTGATTTTGAATCAAACATTTGTTTGACATTATTTATGCCGTTAAATTCAACTAATTGTGTGTGGAGGAATTTTCCACACATAAATAAAACCTTTTTATCACGCTTCTATAGTGTTAAAGGCAAATAAGCAGGACTTTACCGCTTTGAATGATATCCAGAAGAGTTCGAGCGAAGACAATGTATTGCGCCTCGAAGGATTGCCGTGGAACTCCAAAGAGAACGAGATTCGACAATTTTTCCATGGTAAATAGACATTTCACTCAATTTGTTCATCGTGGTAAGGAATATGTGTGAGGGTCAATGAAAATAGATTGAATTCGATTTTCTATCAAAAGTTAGCTAATCGAATGAATGTTGATTGAGGATAAAAAAAAATTTCGCCGATAGGTTTGAAACTCGATGCAATCGGTTTGATTTTGGATAAATCGACCGATCACACATTGGAGGCATTTGTTCGGTTCGAAACAAGCGATGACTTTGATCTGGCATTGAAACGCAACTGGAAGGTGATGGGCAACAGGTAAATTGCAATAGAGCGTGATCCTCATTTTGAAATATAGACTCGATTTAGATCGCAAACTGAAATGTGTGATGATAATTTTATAGACATGTGAAAATCTTTCGAAGCTCATACAATCAGATGAGTTTACGGCTAAATAGCGAGGAGCAGCGATTATGTGCCAAACCAGAGAGCAAACAAATCAGCCCATTGCACGAGGGAGCATTGGTGTCGTTGCCAGTTGAGAAAATTATGGAAAGAAAATCGCAAAAAGGTTCATCGAAATTCAGAATAGTCTTCAAGAACAGATTAATTGACGTGTCTATTTGATGAAATTCCTTAGGTGAATGGCAGAAAGTGGGTCCACGTCGTTCGAAAGCTGAAGCTAAAAAACCGGGCGTTGGCTTTTACATGGTGATGGCACGTGGTTTCCAGTGGAAAGTGTCGAAGAAAGATGTGATGGATTTTTTCAAGGGGATCAACATTTTGAACGGTGAAAAGGGCATCAACATCATGAAGAATGTGGCAATGGAAGCCTACGTTGAATTGGTATCGAAAAATGATGTGAAGAAAGCATTGGCCCTGAACAACAAACGGGTCGATTCACGAACGGTGCATGGTGAGTGAACAATTCGAACAATTTTCTGTTGAGTCATACACAAATTGTGTGATAATTTTGTTTTCAACAGTCACCGAAGTCGATTCAAAGGAATACTCACGCGTTGCATCATGCATCTTGCAAACGAACGACAGCAAGGTGATTCAAATAAGGGGCTTACCTTGGTCTGTCGACAAGGCATACATCATGAAATTATTTCCAAGTGAGTTTTTTTTTACTTTTCTCTAAACAAAAGTTTTGTGCATGAATTTTTTTTTCGAGATGAATAATTTTTTCCTTGCATCTTTCAATTTCAGCCATAAAAATTCCCAAGCACCACATTCAAATCGAAATCGATGAGAATAACCGGCGTACTGGCTATGCATTTGTTGAATTCGAATGTGTTGAGGATTATGATGCGGCATTCAAAACGGATTTCAAAGCTATCAATGAGTAAGACATTTATTGCTCTTTTTTTGACATAAGCATATTCTAAATGTTCACGTGTTTGTCGAAACAGGTTCATCAAGCTATTTAAAGCAACAAAGGAACAATACCTTCAAACCATTACCTCCAACAAAATAATGAACCAAAATTAAAATCAACAATTCAACTCGATTCAAAATGTAAAGGAAACGAGTAGAAAGAAAGCAGTTACAGTAACCGTGAAAATGAAAAATGAAAACGAAAAATCACACATTCCCAAAAAAATATTACCAAAAGAAAAAAATGAAATGTTCGATAAAAAAAACAACATTTCCACTTGTATCTGAATGAAATGAAAAAAAGGGAAATGAAAACCGCTTGAATATTTACAGTTTAAATGTGTTCGTTCACCTCAGAATAAGTTCTTTTTTTGCATTTGTCATTAGAATATCAATAGTTTAGAAAATAGTTTCAACCCCAAAACCAAATACAATATAAATAAATAAATAAATACACATGATTTAAAGAAAGAGATGGCCATTTAATTGATCAAAAACTAAAATTGACACACATTACTTGAAGAATATCACAAATAGATTAATTGAAAAATGGAATGTGAAAAAAATGTTTATACAAAATAAATTATCTTAAACTTGGCTACCAGAATACATAATAGTTATAATTTTCATATAACTTTCTAAAATTCTGTTCATTTCAATCACTTTTGAGCGTTGTATAATCGCGTGTAAATGCTATCCAATGCCAAAAGTTCGTTGTGAGTTCCGTACTCAACGATGTTGCCACCGCGTAGAACACAAATCACATCGGCGTTTTGAACGGTGCTCAAGCGATGAGCGATCACCAAACATGTGCGACCTGATCGGGCCGAGTCGAGAGCTTGTTGAATCACCTTTGAATAGAAAAATTGACGATTTATAGTTGTGTTTGGGCGAATGAATAGATCTCTATATACCTGTTCACTGTGTAAATCTAAGGCAGATGTGGCTTCATCCAACAAAAGAATCTTTGGATTTCTCACCAAGGCACGAGCGATGGCTATTCTTTGCTTCTGGCCTCCGGATAATTGCGCTGATTTACTGCCCAAATTCGTTTCGTAGCCCTTCAAGAGAAAAGAAATTGAAATGTTGGAAATGGAGAAATAGTGAATAAAATTTACAACGTGAGGAACATACCAATGGTAATTTGGCAACAAATTCATGTGCGTTAGCCAACCTGGCGGCCTTTATAATCTCTCCCATCGTAACTTCTCGCGAATTACCTCCGTACGCAATATTCTCGGCGATTGTTTTATCGAACAGCACAGGCTCTTGTGAGACAATGCCCAGTTTCGATCTCAAGTCTTTAAGTGAAATGTCAGTGGATATTTCGTCTAGACCGATATGGATGCGACCGTGTTCGGGATCGTACAATCGCTGTAACAGCTGAATACAAGTGGATTTTCCACATCCAGACGGGCCAACCAAAGCTATCGTCTTTCCATCGATCACATTCAAGTTGAAGTCCTTGGGTATTTGCACATCGGATCTGGTCGGATAACGAAAATCGATCTTTTTGTACTCAATGTCATTGCTTGTATCCGGTTTACGACTCTTATTAGCTATGACTGGTGAATAAATTTTCGGAACACGATCGATAATTTGGAAAATACGATATGCTCCAACGAAAGCAGCAGTAAGCGATGGAGCAAAGATCAAACTTTGATTCATTTCAAATGTGCCATACAACAATGCTTCAGTTACTCTAAAAATGAAATAGAATTTGGGTTTTTCATATCAGCCACTAAAACAAAGTATTGGAAAAGCAGTCAAAAGCAGTGGCTAGTACGCACTTGATGACATTTTTGAAATGAAGTTCTCCGTTCGCCACTAAAAATCCGCCGTAACAAAGTGCAACTGCATAACTGAAGAAGGGAATCGATTGTGCAATCGAATTAACCAGACCACGCCAAATAATTTTTTTTCGAATGATCGATGACGCCATTTTCATTTCTTCTTCGTAGCGATAAATCATAGGCATTTCCAGTCCTGAAAAATGGAAAGTAATTCAACATTTATTACAATGAAAATAGAGACAATTTTCTAAAGAAGAAAATTTTGTTTGATATGTTTTTTTTTCGAATGAGCAACAAAACTGATAACGCACTCAAACTGGCAACGGTTCTAATATTATTGATAGCTTCTGTGGCAATTTTAGTCCCAATTTCAATTGATTGCTTCTCAACGATCGCTGCTTTTGACATATATCTGCGAGGAATATAATAGTTTGGTTTGATTACTGCAACTTTAAGATTTTTTTTCTCCAGATTTTACTTCACTTGAACTAAACATGTATGTCTCTTGACTGATCAAAAAAACACTTACTTAGCTTCCAATAATACTGTGAGTAATGACAGCGGCACGGCAGAAACGCTAACCAACGATAGTTTGAATGAATAACTGAATGCCACAGAAACGCCGATAAAGAATGTAGATATCGATTGAAAGATAGCACTGATTGGATAGGCCACCTTTAAAGAAATTTGTTTGAAAAAATAAAGACGGGATTAAGTTAAATAGCAGTTCAACATACATTTTGCAAACTAGCTGCATCACCGGTGAGTCGAGCTGAGAGCGCTGCAGATGAATTATTCTTTTCGTCGAACCATCCGCATTCTTGTCTCATCAATGCCTCAAAAGCCATTGAACTGTTTCAAGAAAATATCCCGTAATAATGAAATTATTTCTCAAAAATATTTCGTCATTACCGAACACGTGTTACCAGATTGACACTGGCCTTTGAAAACCAGTAGGTTTGACATATTGCACAGATTAATGTAATCACGCCAACTATCACGAATGTTTTGCAAATGATGAGGGTTTGACGATACGCAACGTCTGCGTCTTCTAATGACAATGCCTGTTGAAATTAAAAAAAAATGTAATTCAATTTTTTTAATAATTTGAATGGAGAACCAAAAATCTAGGTTTCTTACACCGTAAATTTCAGCGAATAAAATTGCCAACATCGGCAGAGACGCTCCAATGATAAATGCACAAGTTGTAGCCAAAAATAAGATGAGCCATTCAGATTTCATTTGCATTAAAATACGTTTGAAAACTTTCCAATACCCAATACTTTCGGTTGGCCTTTTCTCTTCCATTGCTAAATGTTTGAAATATTCTTGTTCATCACTCAAGTCATTCTGTGGGTTTTCATGGTATTCATTTACTGTGTTTTTATATTCTAATCTTCCAGCCATTATCATTCTATAATACCGCCCTTTCTGCGACATCAATTGGCTGTGCGTTCCGTCTTCGATCACAAGTCCTTTGTCAA